TTGTTCTGCGGCACGGCCGCCATCGCGGGCCGCCCCGCCGCCAGGGGGCGCGCCGCCGCCCGCCCGCGCCGCCAGCGCTTCGCATTCGGCGCCAAAACCGCCCCCGGCTCCCCCATTGGCCGGAGGGGACAGGGCGGAAGTGACGGAGGGGCGGGCGGCATGGCGGCGGAAATGGCGATGTTTTCGGAAATGGCGGCACCGCCCTCAGGGCGGGCTCGGTTCCTCCGCGGCCCCGCTCCGCCTTAGCCCCGCTCCCAGCCGGCCCCGCTCCGCCTTAGCCCCGCTCCGCACCCCCGAGCAGCGCTCGGCGCTTCGCACGGTGCTGCCCCGCGCCGCGAGGCCCGAGCCCCTCAGCCCGCCCCCTCAGAGGTCGCGGCACAGCGCTCCGGTGACGAGGCAGCTTTATTGTCAGTGACGGATTTCATTGTGAAACAACGCAGACGTGCCCCTGCTCACACGCGGCTTCATTTCCCCAGCGCCTGGTCGGAATCGGCACCGAGGTTCTGGCGTCTTCGCTGGTGGGGTAAAGAAAAATCACCCGTTTCTTCTCTATGTGCATTAAAATACCCTGGTTTTTAATACAAAATATAGCAAGCATTACATCAAAATCGATAAAAGTGTACAAATCACAGCACTCACCCATCCTTCCTTTAAAGAACGGGGAAATTGCCTTCAAAGTAAATTTTAAAATCGCTGGAATTTACAGCTGGTGATTGCAGAAAAGCCACCCGAGGGACGGGTGCAAGCTCTAAACCGGCTCCTGTGGGGCTTCCCGGCACCCAGGTGTCCCGGGATGGATGTGTGGGGCACACCTGGGCACACCTGGGCACAGCAGGAGAGGGAAGCCAGCAGGGGCACAGCAGCAGCCAGGGTTTGGCTGGAGAGGGCAGGCTCAGCTGGGCTGCTGCAGGAGACCCTGGCTGTGTGTGCGAGCCAGGCTGCCCGCGGGTGACACGGACAGTGGGTGACACTGCCAGGGGTGACACTGCCCACTGGTGACACTGCCAGCGGGTGACACTGCCAGCGGGTGACACTGCCAGTGGTGACACTGCCAGCGGTGCCACTGCCAGTGGTGACACTGCCCACGGGTGACACTGCCAGCGGTGACACGGACAGCGGTGACACGGACAGCGGGTGACACTGCCAGCGGCTGGCACTCCAGCAGACAGGCGTGGCATTGCCAGCGGGTGGCACTGCCCACGGGTGACACTGCCAGCAGGTGGCACTGCCAGCGGGTGACACTGCCAGCGGTGACACTGCCAGCGGGTGGCACTGCCCACTGGTGACACTGCCCTCAGGTGACACTGCCAGCGGGTCGCACTGCCAGTGGGTGGCACTGCCAGCAGTGACACTGCCCACGGGTGGCACTGCCAGGGGTGACACTGCCCACGGGTGACACGGACAGCGGGTGACACTGCCAGTGGGTGACACGGACAGCGGGTGACACGGACAGCAGTGACACGGACAGCGGTGACACTGCCAGTGGGTGACACTGCCCGCGGGTGACACTGCCAGCGGTGACACTGCCTGCAGGTGACACTGCTAGCGGGTGACACTGCCCACGGGTGACACTGCCAGCTGGTGACACTGCCAGCGGGTGGCACTGCAGCGGGTGGCACTGCCCACGGGTGACACTGCCAGCGGGTCACACTGCCAGTGGGTGGCACTGCCAGCGGTGACACTGCCAGCGGGTGACACTCCAGCAGACAGGCGTGGCACTGCCTGTGCTCTCCCCCAGCAGCCTCAGCCCCTGCAGCAGCCTCTGTCTGTCCAGCCCTGCTACACCTGGGGAACGGGGTAGGAGGCACAGGCAGCCAGGCCACACATGTTCCTGCCTCGTTCGATAAGGAAATACCTGAAAGAGACAGAAATGGCTGTGAGGGAGCCTTCCCTGCTGTGCCAGGTGAGGCTGGGCAGCCCTGGGTGCCCAGAGCAGGTGGGGCTGCCCTGCATCCCTGGCAGTGTCCCAGGCCAGGCTGGACAGGGCTGGGAACACCTGGGACAGTGGCAGTGTCCCTGCCATGGCAGGGTGGCACTGGGTGGTCCCTTCCCCCTCAGCTCTCCCCAGACAATGCCATTCCCTGCCCCTTACACCCTGAATGAACCAGAACTTGCATCCCCCTCCCAAGAGTCCCACCTGCAGCTGGGAACACTTGTGAAGCTGGGATCTCTCTGCTGTTCAAGCTTTCTTGACCAGCAGGGAGGAGCCAGGGAACCAGCAGCTGTGACAGCCCTGGGCACCAGGGGAACCAGCAGCTGTGACAGCCCCAGGCACCAGGGGAACCAGCAGCTGTGACAGCCCCAGGCACCAGGGGAACCAGCAGCTGTGACAGCCCTGGGCACCAGGGGAACCAGCAGCTGTGACAGCCCTGGGCACCAGGGGAACCAGCAGCTCTGGCCAGGCTGCTGAGCCCTGGGCTCCACAGGAACCAGCAGCTGTGTCAGCCTGGCTGAGCCCCTGGGCACCTCGGCAGCTGCACTGAGCCAAGGCTCTGCTGGGGCAGGGACCCCAGGCCTGGCTCGGTGAGCCTGTCCCCACCCAGCCCAGCACCATTCTCCGTGTCTCCCGGCTGCCAGGTTGCAGCCCGGGGCTGAGGGTGGCTGTCATCCCAGCAGTGGGGGCTGTCCTCAGCCCAGGCAGAGCGTGCTGGGCAGCAGAGCCCTTACCCCTGCATGCCCCACAGGCGGCCCCAGGAGTTCTTGACGATCCAGTAAGGAGTGCCATCCTCCTCCCCGTAGCCCACGGCCAGCACGGCGTGGTTCACCTTGTCAGGGGTGTGCTCGCAGCGGGGGCTGCAGGGGACACAACACAGGTGGGCTCTGAGAAGCAGCCATTAGCCAGGGATTGGTCAAGCCAGCAGTGCTGACCACACTCTGCAAACAGAACTGGGGACGCGCTGAACTGCCAGCTGTGGAGAGGAGGGAGGGAGGGAAGGCACAGAAAGGAGACACTGCTCTGTTTTTCCAGAGAAATTGACTGAAATTTCTGAAATTTCCTGAAAATTTCCACAGAAATTACCTGAAAATTCTGAAAATACAGAAATTTCTGAAATTACCAGCCATATCTGGAGTTAGAGGATCCCTGGACTTTGATTTCTGAAATTTCCTGAAAATTTCCAGAGAAATTACCTGAAAATACAGAAATTTCTGAAATTACCAGCCATATCTGGAGTTAGAGGATCCCTGGACTTTTGAGCTCCTAGCCCACCAAGACAAGCTACAGTGCAAAGGAATATTCCCAGTTGGAACCAGCAGCTCTTAGTGGCTCCCAGTTCTGGTTTGTACTGCCCTGAAATTCAAGGACACTGCTTCATGTTTTGCACAGGAACAGCAAGCTCTTGGGTCTAAATATGTGTTTCCTCTAAATGTTCAACCTTTAAACTGCACTTGCTGAAAGCTGCTGCCTGTGGTGTGAAAGAAGACAGCTCATGGTACATGCTCCCATCTCAAGTGCATCTATTTTTAAACATTTTCAAGCTGCATCACAGGAAAAGATCAATAATCCACCTCAGATTTTCTTTTTTTTGATCTGTTAACAGCTGCTCTGTGCTGAAAGCACTGGAGCACCAATTATTCCATGCACTCTGACTTCAAATCCAGCCTAGACTGTAAATCCACAGGATTGCTGCTCCTGGCATGTTCCTCTGACCACGTCCCTGCCCTCCCAGCTCACACCTGCCCAGGGCTGGCACTGACCTCTGGCATCACTGGCTCTTGGCCCAGCAAAGCCTCTGGAATCACCACCTGCTCCTTCCTGGGAGCTCCTTGGGGCAGATCCCTCGGGCTCAGCCTCTCCCTTGCAATTTCCCTGCAGTTCTGCGTGACTGAGGGTTACTCCAAAGCATTTTTCTGTTTCTCCAAACACACACTGTCCCCCAGCTGGGTACCAGCCCCTGTGCTGCCTCGCTCAGCTCCCATCTTCCCCATGCACTGATCAGCCTTCCACGTGGCTCTGTGCCCATGGGGCTGGCACCACGCTCGAGACTTGCTCGGTGTCCCCGGCTGGCTTTTCTCTCTGCTGCTCCTCCGACCTGCCCAGGGAGCCCCACGTGGCAGCACTGAGGTGAGGTGCAGCAGAAGCTGCCCCGTGGAGAGCAGGCACACCAAAAAGCACCACCTGCCCAGGTGGCAGCTCGGGTGCAGGGCAGTGTGAGGGCAGCCACCCTTCTCACACCGCCCCTCTGAGCTCTGGCACTGATACCACGGAAAATCCACCTTGGCTGGGGCTTACCCTAACCAACCACACGTGTCCTACAGCTGGGCTGCCCCTGCCTGTGTCCCAGCCCAGCCCTGGGACAGCCCCAGCCCCGTGGGGAGCTGCACAGCCTCCCAAGCTGCCTGGCTTGCTGACCTTCATTCCACCACAACCTGGTCCCCAGGCTGGACAGGTTCCTAGCCTGCAGCCCTCCTCCCTGTGCTGCACTCTCATCCCCTCAGGAACCAGTAAATCAAGGCTGTGTTTATTGGTTTTTTTTTCTATTTTCTACTTTAAAATAGTGTGAGAAAGCAGTGCAGTGTTCCTGCATCCAGCAGGAGAAACAGGGACGCACATGACTGCAGCCCGACCTGTTCCCCTTGCCCTCACCTCACCAAAGGAGGGTCCCACACTCACTTGGAATACACTCCTTTCCTGTAGTGCATGAAGTCACTTGTCACCTCAAAGGCAAAGCTCACTGGGTTGTGCTTCCCCACAGCTTCCACCATGCTGTCCTCATCATACTGCAAGAGAGGATGCAGGGTCATCATCCTCACCATCTCCTGGCTGTGCAGGGCCCAGTGCAGGCCCAGCAGCCAGGCCACGGGGGATGGATAACCCTGGTGTCCTGCAGGACAAGGAATCCAGTGCTGAGCTGTGGAGGAGAACTGGGACTGTCCCAGCCTGGAGGGGCACCCCTGTGGGAAGCAGGCAGGAACCCAGGGCTTGTATTTTGGCTCCAGCACCTCCTTGGTGCCACCTTCTAAAAGGTGTGCAGGACAGCAGAGTGTGCCCAGCAGCTCTCTGAACCCTGGAGCACACAGGCTGCAGCTGCAGGACAGCAGAGTGTGCCCAGCAGCTCTCTCTCCTGGGACACACAGGCTGCAGCTGCAGGACAGCAGAGTGTGCCCAGCAGCTCTCTGAATCCTGGAGCACACAGGCTGCAGCTGCAGGAGAGCAGAGTGTGCCCAGCAGCTCTCTGAATCGTGGGACACACAGGCTGCAGCTGCAGGACAGCAGAGGGTGCCCAGCAGCTCTCTCTCCTGGGACACACAGGCTGCAGCTGCAGGAGAGCAGAGTGTGCCCAGCAGCTCTCTCTCCAGCAGCACACAGGCTGCAGCTGCAGCTGCTGAGCCCAGCACAGCTTGGGCACCCCAGCACCTCCCCTCGGCACAGCCCTGGCAGTTTGGAAACGCAGCCCTCGGGGCCTCACCTGCGTGATATTGATCACATCCTTGACAAAGGCAATGGCCTTCTCCGGCTGGAACTTGCAGGTGCCGTTCTGCGGGGACAGAGAGGAGCTGTGGGAGCTGTGCCAGCCCTGCTGTGCCCCCACGGGGGCCGGGGCTGTGCTGCAGTACCTTGGCCCGGTAGGGGTAGCTGTCCTCCCCCATGAGCCCCTTGTTGTACAGGATGTACTCGAAGGCTTGGCTGGGCAGGCCCCTGTGAGACAACGCGGCTCGTTAGGATGCTAACAGTTAATTAGGATGGTAATGATGAATTGGGATGGTAATGCTGCAGCTTCTGCAGAGCAAAGCCATCAACAATCCCCCCTCTGCAGCCCACTCCCACCAGCCAGGGAGACAGGGAAGGGCAGTGTCTACCCCAGAGCCCCCAGAGGCACAAACTCCAGTCTGTGCCTGCAGCATCTCCCTGCCTGGGCTGTCTGGCATGGTCACACCTCATTCTCCAGCTGCCAGACCCCTGGAGAACACCAGGAGCCCTAAGGGTGTGAGGTCAGCTGGCCCACACAGCACCAGCCTCGCATGCTGAAAGGTGTTTTTGGTGCCCTCTGCCCAGCCTGGCTGGGAGACATTGAGACACCCACACCTCCAGCAAGCAGCTGCTCCCTTCCCTGGCCACCTTCCAGAAGCACCTCTCAGGAGTGAAGAAAAGAGAGATGATCAGGGAGTGCTGATGTGGAAACGCCTAAGGAGGAGTCACAAGAAAAATAAAAAGCACAATGAGTGGCTTTGCTCAACTCTGAGCGTCCCTCTAGGACCACTTATCTCACAGAAAACAGAAGTTGTCAGAAAGCTCTATTCTGCCTTCTCTGGCAAAGCCAGGAGGAACCTCCCAAAGGGGAAGCTGAAGTTTCTGTGGGTTCTTCAGGTGCCACGAGACATGTGTGACCCAGGGCAGAACTACACCCAGAAATCCCCTTGCTGTCCCAGAGCTCAGCCTATGGCTGCCATGTGAGAAACAGATAAACAGTCTCAGATAAAAACTAACAAATGAGGAACAAGAGGTTGGGAAATGCTGGAGATTTACTGAAACATCCTAGCTTCTAGGAAGGGTGGAATTAAAATAAGCAACCAAATCCAAAGCTGCTTCCCCTGACACACTGCAGCCATGGTAAGGCAAAAGCCATTCCATAATGTGGAAGGACCCTGACACACGATCTGGAGGAAGGCTGTCCATCACAGGGTGTAAGATTCTCTAATTTCTGCTCTTTCTGGCCCTCTCTGACTTACCCACTGCAGCCATGGTTGTTGAAGGCCTGGGCGCAATCAACCAGCTGCTGCTCTGCCTGCAGAGAAGGGTTTTGAGTCAGTGACTGTCCCACAGCTGTGCTCAGAGCCAGTGACACAAAAAGCAACTGCACAGCAGGAACTGAGAGTTGGTTTGTCTGTGCAGCTGGCTGTATCGACCCCCACAGCACTGCTACACCCCTGGGAGTCACCTGGAAACGGCTCCATGTCCCAGGGAGGCCGACAAGGAAGACCTGGAGCCAGCAGCCTGGGATGCCCTGGCTGCCAGGGGCATTCCTCCTCACGCCTGCCAGGAATCCATCCCCCCCCCAGAAGGACTGGCTGAAATGTCTTCCAAAGGTCAGGTTTGTTTTTCACACACCCAACCCTCAGTTCTTCTGCTAAGTTGTGTAAGTGGTTACTGTCTTTCTAGTTCTTCAGGAATGTAAGTCCTCTGGGAGCTGAAAAACCAACATGTCCCAATGTGCTGCCTGCAGTGAGGCTGGCTGGCAGGGCCAGGCACAGCTTATTTCCACACCTGCTCCCAGCAGCCTCCAGCCCCTCTGGCTCCATCCTGCTTCCCCAAAGGGCTCCAAGCCCAGAAACCCTCTTACCAGAGAGAGCAGCTTTCCCGTGGCAATGGCAATAGCAGACTCCAAACAGCCCGTGGTGGAAAAGGTCCAGCAGCTCCCGCAGGCACCCTGCACGAGGAACAGGAGCTCCAGGTCCTGCAGGCTCACCAGCCTCCCCAAAACACGGGCAGGGGGGCATGGCAGCAGTGCAGAGCCCCCATTCCCCACTGGGCTCAGCCTTCTGCTCAGCCCCTGCCAGGGCACACGGCAGGCACAGCACAGCCCCAGGGCAGCTCCCCTGGCACAGGCACGGCGCCTGCCCGCAGCCACCAGCCCCTGTGGCTGTCACACGCTCCTCACCTGGTTCTTCACGGGTGTCACGAAATTCCCCTTCTTCCTCCAGTCGATAGAGTCGGGACGTGGCCCAGAGCTGCGCAGGAAGTTCCCCCTGGTGGCTGAGCAGTTCTGCAGGCGGGGCAGGAGGGCTGTGGTCAGCCATCAGGCCAGTGGCCCACGACAGCCACCCTGCCAGCGTGAGGGCTGGTGACCAGCACACACTGGCCACTGCAGCCCCACCAGCCCGCACCCCTGGCTGCAGTGCCCCAGGGCTCAGGGAGCTGACAGCAGAACACACAGCTGGGCTGGAGTCAGGGCCCAGGCAGTGAAAGCCACGAGAGTGGGGAACAGAGTTCATCTGGCTCTTGCCCTGGTGGCACAGGATGTGACCAGACCAGATGGCAGGCAGCACAGCGAGGGGTGCTGGCCCTGCAGCGGGTGTGGGTCATGGAGAACCTGCTCACGGGGGTGCAGGTCACTGCAGAACCCCCTCACAGGGGGTGCAGGTCACTGCAGAACCCCCTCATGGGGGTGCAGGTCACTGCAGAACCTGCTCATGAGGGTGCAGGTCACTGCAGAACCCCCTCACAGGGGTGCAGGTCACTGCAGAACCTGCTCACGGGGGTGCAGGTCACTGCAGAACCTGCTCACGAGGGTTCAGGTCACTCCAGAACCTGCTCACGAGGGTTCAGGTCACTGCAGAACACCCTCATGAGAGTTCAGGTCACTCCAGGACCTGCTCACGGGGGTGCAGGTCACTGCAGAACCCCCTCACGGGGGTGCAGGTCACTGCAGAACACCCTCATGAGAGTTCAGGTCACTCCAGGACCTGCTCACGGGGGTGCAGGTCACTGCAGAACCCCCTCATGAGAGTTCAGGTCACTCCAGGACCTGCTCATGGGGGTGCAGGTCACTGCAGAACCCCCTCACGGGGGTGCAGGTCACTCCAGAACCTGCTCACGGGGGTGCAGGTCACTGCAGAACCTGCTCACGGGGGTGCAGGTCACTGCAGAACCCACTCATGAGAGTTCAGGTCACTCCAGAACCCCCTCACCGTTACCTGGACCCCCTCCTTCCCCGCCCACCCGCACTCCCAGCATTTACCTGCGGCTCACTCCACAGGTACCGCTTTTTAAACTCCGCGAAGGTCAGATCCGAGAACTCGTTGAGGCCCACTAGAGCGGGGAGAAAGGGGACACTGCTCTCAGCGAGGCGCGCTGCCCAGCGCCGGCGGGGCCGCGGCCGGGCGGGGCTGGGCTCCTACTCTGGAAGCTGTGCCCGCCGGCGTTGTGCCGCTCCACGCGCCGCTTGTTGCCCACGAAGATGCGCAGCCGCCGCGGGTACTCCTCGGGGCCGTAGCGCCGCTCGTTCTGCGGGGACACGGCGGCTCAGGGCTCGCCGAGCGCGGAGGCCCGGCCCGGCCGCTGCCCCGCGCCTCACCTGCAGCATCCAGGCCTTGAACAGCTGCTCCTCTGCGGAGAGAACGGGCCCGTCAGCGCCGCGGCTCTGCCGCCGCCTCCCCCCGCGCCGGGCCGTGCCGAGTGGCCTCCTGCCCTCCCGGTGCCCCTGTACCTTCGGCCGAGGGCTCCCAGGCGGCGGCGGCGGCGGCCAGCAGCGCGGCCGCGGTCAGCAGCACGGGCCAGCCCATGGCCGCGCCGGGCCGGGCCGAACCGGGACGGACGGGGCCGAGCCGAGCCGAGCCGAGCCGAGCACGGCCGAACGCAGCCGAAATTGGCCGAGCCGCGGCCAGGGGGCGGGACAAGGGGCGGGGCGGGAGGTGGGCGTGGCACTGGGCGTGGCACCGGCACTGGGCGTGGCCCGCGGCCCGGCGGGCCCGGCATTATCCCGCCGGTAAAACTATCACAAACCCCGGTTCACCCTGAGATAGAATAGATTTATTAGCAAGAGGTAATCAGGAAACATATATTTTTACAAAAAAAATGGAAATATCTTTTTTTTTTTTTTTTTCCCAAACAAGCTGTAAGTTGAAATAGTTTTAGGGCTTGAAAGAGAATTCCCATACCACGAGGTATTGCTTACAGCAAGTGTTGTGTGAGTGGAGCATGCCTGCCACTGCCGGGGAACCGTGTCAGGGACTGTACAATGTAAAAAACCCAGGTACTATTCACAGAATAAGCACTACATTACTATATCCTGCTAGCGGGTGGTTAGCCAGGATTACAGTAGATGTAATAAAAACACTCGTCATCTCTAACTCTACGTCATGGTACTCAGAGTGGGCACAAGGGTACGGATCTACAGCATATCAACAGGAGCCGGATGCAGCGAGGAGAGGCGAGGGGATGCTTCCATCTTCCCAGCTTGGGAGGGACCAGGGCAGCAGCCAGGGCCCCCCGTGCCCGGCCAGCACCAGGGTGGCACACACAGAGAGGGCAGCTCACACCGAGCGACAACCTTTAATGCGCTCCCTTCTCCCACCTTACAGAGTTGGGATGTAACCGCCAGCACTGTCCGAGCGAGAGCTGCTGTGTGCTGCCGCTGAGCCCGCGGGGACACAGGGACACACCTGTCCCACAGGGCTCACCTGCCCCACGGGGACACAGGGCTCACCTGCCCCACAGGGCTCACCTGCCCCACGGGGACACAGGGACACACCTGTCCCACAGGGCTCACCTGCCCCGCGGGGACACAGGGACACACCTGTCCCACAGGGCTCACCTGCCCCACGGGGACACAGGGCTCACCTGCCCCACAGGGCTCACCTGCCCCACGGGGACACAGGGACACACCTGCCCCGTGGGGACACAGGGCTCACCTGTCCCACGGGGACACAGGGTTCACCTGCCCCGTGGGGACACAGGGACACACCTGTCCCACGGGGACACAGGGGTCACCTGCCCCACAGGGACTCACCTGCCCCGTGGGGAAACAGGGCTCACCTGCCCCGTGAGGACGCAGGGACACACCTGTCCCAAGGGGACGCAGGGACACACCTGTCCCAAGGGGACACAGGGCTCACCTGCCCCACAGGGCTCACCTGCCCCATGGGGACACAGGGACTCACCTGCCCCATGGGGACACGGGGACACAGGGCTCACCTGCCCCACAGGGCTCACCTGCCCCGTGGGGACACAGGGACTCACCTGCCCCACGGGGACACAGGGACTCACCTGTCCCACAAGGACACAGGGACTCACCTGCCCCATGGGGACACGGGGACACAGGGCTCACCTGCCCCGTGGGGACTCACCTGCCCGACCACCAGCCCCCCAGGAGGAACAAATGACAAAAGTAACATCATGGAAAAGAACCCGGGACTCCAGCGAAGTGTCGGCGCGTTAAACCGTGACGGGGCGGGGAATCCTACGCGAGCGCGGCCGGGGCGGGGGCCGGGGGAGCACACACGGGGGTCGCTCCGGGAGCGGGGCTATGTACAGGGGTACAGCGAGTGTCCGGCGGCCGCGCCGCTCACGAAGGCAGCTTGGGCTCTATCCGCAGAGAAGCTTCGTACAGGGACTCCTCGTCCATCACGCACGACTGGTCCAGCAAGTACTGCGTCACCTGGGGACGGAGCGGGGCCGTGAGGGACGCAGCCTGGCAGCAGGGCACCCGCACCCTGCCAGCCCGGTCTGACGGCGCTCAGCTGCTCTCGTGCGGGGCAGAGGCGGCCGGAGCGGGGCGGCACGGCGGCCCTGCTCCCTGGGGAGGGCGTGCTGCCCCTCCATCGCTGCTTCTCAGCCTGTGCGGTGCACCCTCGAGCACCCCGGGCCCGTCCAGAGCTGCCCTCTGCAGCAAGGGCTCTGCTGCAGCTGCCTGGGGACCGCGGGGGGAGCCTGCTGGAGCCCCCACAGCCTCCCTCCTTCCCCCGGCCCCTCCAACAGGCTCCAGCATGGAGCTGCCAGGCACTGAAGGCGTAGATGCTGTGATGAAGAGGGAGATGAGGGCAGAGCCTGCCCGTGGCTCTGGGGACAAGGCTGTACCTTGGGCTGGTGCTCGATCTTGTAGGAGGTTTGCTGGAACTGGCGGATCTCCCTTATGATGTGTGAGATCTGTGCAGGGATAAAACACAGGAGGTGCTCGTGGCTCAGCCATCACGCAGAGAACCCGGCCCAGGGCCCAGGAGGGCAGGGGCACCCAGCACAGCACGGTGCAGAGGCCTTTTTGTCTCTTGCAGACACTGGGAGCAAGCCCAGCTGTGTGCAGGGGACACATGTGGCCTCCTGGTGCTGTGCAGAAGGCTCGGGGCACACAGAGCTCGGGGCCACAAGCACATCAGCCCAGCCCCTGTGCCCATGCCAGTGGGCTGGAGCACTCACCATCCTCATTTTGGAGAAGTTCACCAGGCCATCCTCGGTGTAGTTCGGGGTGCCCTCCTCGATGAACGCCAGGTCCGTCAGGTACATGCCCAGGTAGGGGACACACGGGGGGTCACAACTTCAGGAGTGAGCCAGAAAGAAATCAGGAATAAAACTTTCTTACTTTGGAGCTTGGGGCAGGGTAGGGGAGAAGGGGACAGCTCTGCAGTCAGCAGGGCTGGAAGGATTCTCTCTGATATAGGACAGAGGAGAAGGGATCAGCTCTGCAGTCAGCAGGGTTGGAAGGATTCTCTCTGATATAGGACAGAGGAGAAGGGATCAGCTCTGCAGTCAGCAGGGCTGGAAGGATTCTCTCTGATATAGGACAGAGGAGAAGGGATCAGCTCTGCAGTCAGCAGGGCTGGAAGGATTCTCTCTAGTATAGGAGAGCTCTCCCAGGGAAGGCTCCTGGTCTGCTGGGCCTCATCCCCAGCAGCACAGCAGGACAGGCAGGACCTGTGGCTGTGGCCCTCACAAAGCCACGGGATGCAGGAGATGAGCTGGGGCAGCTTTGACAGCACAGAGGGTCAGACAGACCTTTAGAAGCTTCCATGGACAGCCTGGTCTAGTGGAAGGGAGCCCTGCCCACAGAGAGGAAGGGAACAAGATGAGCTTTGAGGTCCCTGCCAACCTAAACCACTCTGGGATTCGATGATTTTATGATAGTGATGGGGAAAATTGTTCTTTGGTGTCTGGCAGTGATTTTTCCCTTTGCAGTCCCTTTTATTCCCATCTTTCCACGTGCTGCACAAAGGAGCAGCTCAGTCCTGGGGATCACTCTGCCAGCCACTGTGCTGCTCCACAGGACACCCCTCAGTGCAGGCTCTGAACGATCCTGGGAGCAGAGCTCAGGTCCCCCCACCCTGCAGGCCCCAGAGCGGCCGTGGGGCAGGAGGAGAAGCACCCTCCACTCACTTTTTCAGTGCCTCCCTCAGGTTCTTGAACCTGCCCTCCGACGACACCAGCTTCTGGAGCTTGTCAATCAGAGCCTTCGTCTGCAAGAAACCAGAGAGCTGCTGGGAGGGGGCCTGGAAGAACCCCCATTCCCTGGGGCTGGGGGGCAGCCTGCCGAGCCACGGGGGCACGTCCAGCCCACCCTGCCCAGGGACATCACCCACGGACTGTTCCTGCAGCCCCACAGTGCAGTGTGCCCTGGCTGTCACACCTGGCTGCAGGGGAGCAGGCTGTGCCTCCCCCTGCTCCCACCTCTGCCCTCGCCCGTTTTCATTCACAGGTTTATCATTTTATAGCAAAAACGACTGCCCCTGGCTGGTGGGAGCCCACAGTGGTGCCAGCTCAGAGAGCTTTAACTGGGTGAGGCCAGTGTCTTCTCACAGGTAACAAGTGACAGGACAAGGGGAAAGGAGTTGTGCCAGGAGAGGTTTAGATTGAATATGGGGAAAATTTCTTAATGGCTGTCCAGGCCTGGCACAGCTGCCCAGGGCAGTGGTGGAGTCAGTGGAGGGATTACAGGATATGTGGATGTGGCACTTGGGGACATGGGTTGGTGGTGGCCTTGGCAGTGCTGACTTGCACGGTCTCAGGGAGCTTTTCTAACCCAAACAATCCTGTGATTCCTTGGATAATCCCAACTCCAAGGGTGTGCCTCTCCACACACCACACCCTCCAGAGAACAACCTGAAACCCCTTTCCCCGTTTCTAACTCTTTTCCAACACACCTCATCCCTCCCCAACACCCCCCCCGGGGCAAAGCCTCCTCCCCGGGAGGGGCCACCCCTACCTGCTTGGAGACCTTGAGCCAGGTTTTCTTGAGGCGGAAGATGGCACTGCGGTTGAGGGAGGAGGTGATCTCCAGCACGGCGTTGTAGTTGTGCAGGCAGCGGCAGATGTCGGCCACCGCCACCCACTTCTCGATGGCGCTGACGCGCGCGTTGATCTCCTCGTTGCGGATGATCTCCGAGGCGATCAGGTTGCTGACCTTGGGGACACGCGGCCCCCGGCCCGGCCTTTAGCGTGGGTTTGGGCACACCAGCCTCACGGCGGGTTTTGGATCCCCCCCACCCCGTGCCGCTGCGGCCCCACGAGGAGCAGCTGCAGCAGGACTGGCTCCACCCGCACGGGCTCCCCGGGGCAGGCAGGGGACCCCCCGCACCCCACCCTGGGGAGGGGGCTGAGCTGCCTCCCCCGTGCCCTTCCCCCTGCGCCCATCCTGCAGCTGCACCTACGTCGTTGAAGTGCTTTGTGTTCTTCATGATGTACGGAGTCCTCTCGTTCTTCTCCAGCTTCATCCAGCCTTGCCCAAAGAATTCCCTGCGAACCACAGCGCTCAGGTCAGCTTTTATTTCCAAAATAACAAACCCCACCAGCATTCCACCCTAATAAACCCCAAACAGCCCTGATGACACAGGAGAACTCCCCAAGATCAACACACACACAGAGCCCAGCAAGGCAGGAGCCCCTTGCACAATCCCTTGGGACAGGGGTTGTGAAAGCTCCAGCAGACAAACCCTGGCTGGGCTCCTCCAGAGCTGGGGTGAGCTGTGGGGCACACCAGAGATGGGGAGGGGGTACCAGTGGCCCCTGTGCAGGGCAGGGGGCTGCAGCACCCCGGAGGTACAGCACAACGCAGCCCCCTGCCCATGATGTGCACCCCAAACCCCAGGGCACCCTCACATCCAGCACCCTTGGCTGCAGGGCGCTGCTGCCCCGCCTGGGGGGCAGAGCAAAGCCCTCAGGGCTCTTCTGCTCTCTCCCCTTCAGAGGAAGCTTCCAGAACACAAAGTTTTAGGCAACAGCTCAAACAAAGCCCAGGAGGGACTGCCCCCCTGCAGGAGCCAGCAGCAGAGCCAGGGGACAGAATCTCGGGTGTTTTAGGTGCTGCAGGGCAGTTTCAAGTGGCTCTTGTGTTCTCCAGGGAACAGGTTTGGTTGGGTTTTTTTTCAGTGCAGAAGGGCAGCAAGTGCTCTGCAGCCACGCTGGGGGCTCTAAATCCACACATATTCCCAGGGCTCTCTTTCCAGGGAGCAGCAGTGATCCTGGCTGAGCCAGAGCCCCCTCGCTTGGGACTGGAACGGGTTTGGGGACACAGAGGACACGATGGGAGCCCCTGGGGCTTTCCCATGTCCCTGCAGCAGGCACGGGCAGCAGCAGGCAGGTGTCTCCGTGCCCTCTGCAGCCATTCTGCTGACTGCAGGGGGAATAATGTGCCTGTGGGCTGGCTGGTGCTGCCTCTGCCCTAACAGATCCAGCTGTGCTCACAGCTGGCCCCTCCCCAGAAAGCCTTTCCTGCTTTGCAGCTGCACCCTGGCACTGGCCTCGGAGGCTCGCTCTGCCCTGAGTGCGCACCAGGACCTTTGGCTGCTCCCCTTCCACCAGCCCAAGGCAGAGGGGGCAGGCAGGCAGGGGAGGAAGGAGTGTTTACCATCTGCACGACCTCCTCCAGGGTTATCTGGTTGTCTCCTGGATCCTCCTGCGTCAAGGTCCTGTGGCACGGAAAGACAGGATTACTGCAGCTGGGAAAGAGCCACACAGCTGCAGCAGGGCAGCGTGGCACGCTGCAACCCTCAGCCCGTGCTTCAGGAGACCCCCTCAGCCCCATTCCTCCTTTTAAAGAGAAAAACACTCCTTAGCCGAGGCCACGCGGCCCCACAAGGGCCAGCCCTGCTGCAAGACAAGTGCCCTGCCCTCAGCACGGGGTGGGCACACCCTGAGTGCCCGAGCCGCCCTGCCCAGCACAAACCTGGCGCCGGCAGCCGCGGTGCCACGGCAGGACCCCACGGCAGCAGGGGCCAGCACCCCCTGGGCTCAGCACAGAACCTCGGCCGGGCTCCAGGGGGGTCACACCCGCCGTGTCCCGAGGCTGAGGGCAGCCAGCACCGCCCAGCCTCCTCCTCATCTTCCTCCCTGCCGCTCCCAGCCCCGGCACGGTCCCTGCTGAGCACTGCTGTGCTGCCAGGTGAGAGCAGGAGCAGCCAGCAGCTGGCAGTGCCAGGAAAAGCCTGGCACAAAGCCTCCTGCCCGCAGCCCCTCACCTGATGATGTTGGCAGCTGCTTTCCTCTCCTGCGTCAGGAGCTCGGGGTCGTGGATGACCTCCTCCAGGAATGCGATCACCCGGAACTTCAGCTCCTCGTTGGTCTCAAAGTCCTGCCAAGGCCAGCACAGCCCTGGCATTACTGTGCTGGGAGTGACCCTGATCCCAGCAGAGCTGCTTCCTTCCCGGCTGGGCAAGGGGCTGCCTCTTCCAGCACAATCCCAGCACGGGAGGGCAGCGGGCTCACTCACTTCCATTGCATCAGCATCACCAGGCCTGGGAGAGCTGTGACTTCCCGGTGACAGCCAGTACGGCACTGCTGCCACTGCCCCGACACCAGTGCAGGAGGGACAGGACAGCAGGGAGAGCCCTGACCCATCCTGGGCATCCCATCAGGCAGCAAACCCAGAGACTCCCCTTGCTCTGCGCCCAGCCAGGGGTGACAGCAGGCCCCGCTCCCCTCCTCTGCAGCCCAGCTGTGCAAACACTGGAGGTGACCCCTGTTCCCTGCCGGGCTCCCAGCTCCCTGCTCCCACCGTCTACACTGCTTTGCTTCAGAACCTCAGTGCCAGACTGCCTTGCCAGCAATGCTGGCTGAGCTGCCCAGCACGCCGCTGGACTCGCTGGCAGGGCGCAGGGGGAGAGGGAGGGAGGCGCTGCCCACCTGGGAGTGTTTGGACACCCAGTGCCGCAGCACGTTGAGCACGCGGTTGGTGGCTGCTCTCCGGATCACAAACTCCTTGTCCCCGTTCCGCTGGTCCGTCGGGAAGCCTGAAACTGCCAGAGGGCCCTCAGCAGGCACAGCTCCCTCAGGAAGGGCTCACGGCCGCTCTGGGGCTGCCAGGAGCACCCCCCTTCCCCGAGCCGCCGTGCCAGGAGGGACACCCGGCCCCTGGGAGCTGCACACCCCTCGGGCAGTGCCAAGCCCAGACTCCAGGGCACACCTGGAGCAGGCGCTGGGCTCTGGGGGCTCCGGGCTCCCCCGGCCACAGTGTGCCTGCAGGGAAACCCCTCTGGTGGCAAGGGGCACCCCAAAGGCACGCCCTCGGGGCAGGTACCTGCGCTGGCCAGGGACATCCTGCGGTACTTCTCCTTGGTGGGGGTCCCCTCGTTGGCCCCCGCCGTGGCGATGGCGAAGGCGGAGGTGGCAGACAGGGCGCTGCGGGTGCTGTCCAGGTCCCGGCAGGACGTCATGACCATGCCATTGTTGTAGGAAAACAGCGAGAAATCTGCGGGAGAAGAAATCCAACACACCTGTGAGCACTGCTGCTGCCCGGACAGGGCCCCACGCGTGCCAGCCCCCCGAGACACGGGCACCCCCCAGACCTCGCTCGTTACCTGATGAATTTTTGCACTTGATGGACTTGGGAGTTGTTGGAGATTTTGTTGGGGAAGCTTCAGCTTCTGCTTCATCGCTGTGGTTGGGATCCGTGTCCGACTCTTCCCTGACAGACACCTCTGAGCCTGGGAGGACAGGGAGCCCCTTTACACCCGCTGCACACAAACACAGCCACCTTTCAGCTCTTCCCATTTTCCTCAAGTCTGGCCCTTTCCAGCTTGGGATGCGGCCACCGTGTATGGGAAAGCCACAGAGTTCTGCTGTTTCTGTGGGATACTTTAGAACAGGATTTTTCCTTGAGGTGGGGGGGTTTGGGTGGATTTTTGGTTTTGTTGTTAAAAATCACTGGAATTTCAGGAGGCAGGAGTTCTGTGTGCACATTAAAAATCACTGGAGTTTCAGGAGGCAGGAGTTCTGTGGCACATTAAAAATCACTGGGGTTTCAGGAGGCAGGAGTTCTGTGTGCACATTAAAAATCACTGGAATTTCAGGAGGCAGGAGTTCTGTGTGCACATTAGATTTTTGGTTTTGTTGTTAAAAATCACTGGAATTTCAGGAGGCAGGAGTTCTGTGTGCACATTAAAAATCACTGGGGTTTCAGGAGGCAGGAGTTCTGTGTGCACATTAAAAATCACTGGGGTTTCAGGAGGCAGGAGTTCTGTGTGCACATTAAAAATCACTGAGGTTTCAGGAGTTCTCTGTGCATGCACCTAAACCAGCCCCTCTGTGCCAGAGCCCCCCATGCCCAAACCCACAGGGACTCACTCTGCTTTCCGGGCAGGGACTCCTCTTGCTTTTCCGAGGCCGCTTCTCCTTCGTCCGGGATCTTGTTGGGATAGCTGCTGGACACGTACAGCTTGTTGATGTCCAGAGTGGTCTTGCTGAAGGGGGCCATGGAGGAGTAGACGCCGGCGTAGCCGTTGGAGGAGCAGCTGAGCGCCGCCAGGTCCAGCGCCTTGCCGCCGGTGATGATGGGGATGTTGAGGGACAGCTTCCTGCGGCGGCTGGGCGACGACGACTTGCTGATGGACAGCGGCGGCGGCGACGAGAACTTGCGGTTGGCCCGGGGGGACTTGGGGGGCTCCCCGTAGAGCAGCTTGTTGTTCTGGCTGTTTGCAAACAGGAGCTCCAGGGACCTTGCGGAGACAGGGAGAGGCTGAGCTGGCACCGGCCCTGCCCTGGAGGTCGTGGGGATCCCCCCAGGGCGTCCCCCCAGGCACAGCAGCGGAGCCAACGTGAGCCCCACCACCCCGTGGGCAGCACCTGGCCCTCCCAGGAGTGGGGACACCCGCAGAGCTTGGATCCATCTCCTTCCCCTGTCTGGGGGTAGCACAGCTCACGGGGAGCAGTGACAGTCCCGGGGGGGCACCAGGGACAGGACAGGTCCCTGGCAGCAGTGCAGCCTCACCGTGCGGGGATGGCACTGATGGGCTTCTTGTAGATGGTGATGAGCTTGTCGAGGACGACGAGGGCGGTGGTGAAGACGCGGTAGGAATGCAGGAAGGTGTTGAGGAAGTCGATGCTCAGGAAGCGCAGGTCCGTCAGCCTCTCCAGCAGCCGCTCCACACTGGCATAGCGGATCTGCAGGACCTTGCAGGAATTCATCGTTTTACTGAACCTAATGTCAACATCATCACAATACAAGCTGGCATCAGACCTGCAGAGAAACAAGATTTCTGTGGTTCCAGCCTGGAACGAAACCAAGAGACCATGGGCAGCGGTGCGGGAAGGAGCCCTGTTCGTACGGGGTGTCCCCATGGAAAACCTGGCTGGGAATGCTCCCAGGGGAAAACCCAGACATCCACACCCTGGAATGGGCTCCTGGAAGGGGTGGAGTGCTCAGCAGGCAGAGGGATGTGGAGGGGCCATCCCCAGGTGCACACAAGCCAAGCCCCCTCCCCTGCCTGGCAGCAGGGAATGGGGCAGGAAGACCCCGTGCTGCCCCGTCCCCCCGGCTGGGACCACCCCCCTAGTCCCACACGTGTCCCAGCACAGCCTTTGCACCCCTGCAGGGAGGACAACCCCCGTGCCCCTCCCTTCTGGCACTTTTACCCCCTCTTTACTATTGTTAATTTTTCTCCGAACTCTCCCCTTTGGCATTCCCACCTCCCCAGCACACACAAACCCCTCAGCAGCTAATTAAGGCTGCTAATCACCCCACTGGGACAGCCCACGGAGCACATGGCAGGCCGTGAGGTCCCGGGGAGGTGCCAGCGCTCCCGAGGCTCCTGGCAGCGTTGGGCTGCCCCAGGAGCTGTGTCGTGCCCCCTGCACACTCACTTGATCATCTGGGGCACGGTGACCTTGGAGTTCTCCTCGAAGGCGTTCATCATCAGCCCGTTGCAGCGGATGTTGTCCACGCACTGGGAGAGACACGGGCGGCAGGTGGAGGAAGTCAGGGCTTGGCTTTCCCCAGAGCAGCCACATCCCTGCTCCGTGCAGCTCCCCAGACCCAGGGCCACCAGGAAAGCTCCCGGGGCGCAAACCCAGGCGCAGGGCGGCGGAGGGGCCGCGGGCACGCGGCAGACCCGGTGTTACCTGCCTGCCCAAACCGACGCCACGGCCCAGCAGGGACCCCGTGGCAGCTCCTCGTGCTGAGAGCTCCACACCCCTCCCTGCTGGGCCCTACCTGGCTGATGTCACTGGTCCATGCAGCCTTCTCCTGCCTGGACGAGGCCACGAGGATAACGGTGAAAGATGAGGAATCTTTCGGCTCCACCACGATTTTGAAGTCAAGGTGGTCAATGTCTTGTCCTGATGTTTTGGCTTCGGAACAGAAAAAGCCCACACAGTGATTGGGAAAGCCTTTCCCTTCCCCTCTCTCCCAGCCAGCTTTCAAGGAGGGTTTATTCAGGTTTTTGTGGGCTGTTGGCTGCCCCAGGAAGGTCAGGTCTGTCTAAGTGTGGGTCTGCTTGGTTCTCAGTAAATAATGAATCTAATTAAACCTCAGTCGTGGATCCCTTGAATCTACTGGCACCTGAATGTGACCCCACTCCCCAGGCACGCCCCAGCACCTACCGTCCTCGTCGGTGCTCTCGGGCTCCTCCACCAGCGTGCAGTCGATGAGGGAGATCACACCGTTCTGCAGGGACAGAGGGGGCTCAGCGCTGCCACCCTGGGGCTGGGCATCCCCTGACCCCCCAGCACAGCCCCCCCAAGGCCGGCAGTCAGGGCTCAGCAGTGGGACCCCCCAGGGGCTGACATTTCCTCTGTCCTTGTCCCCCACCCCAGGGCTGGGGACAGGTTGATGTCCCCAGGGGGGCACACACAGCTCAGGGAGGGGACACACACACAGCACCTGCTTTCACTGGGAAAAAGATCTGTGCCTGCTGGGATCTCTGGGTTTTCCTTGTCAAATTGATCAACTAATTTGTTTATAAATTATTTAATAGGAGCTTTAAATTTAATTTTCCCAAAGTCTGTTGTTGCAATTATCAGCTCTTTGCCACGGACTGTAATTCTTCAAACTGATAATTTAATGCCAGTAACAAGCAATTTCTGTAAGATTCTTGCTCAATTAACTGCCAAACTTCCCCAAATAAACACAGGAACCCAGGGAGCAACCAGAGGAGCTGGGAATGCTACAGACAGCCCGGGCTGTGATTCCAGTTTCTTCCAGAACGGACTGTCAACATTTCTGCTGCAAATCAGGGTAAATTCTTTTATCAAGATCGCGTAGTTTCTCATCTCTCCTGTGACTCAGCTCTGACAAGGACCACGTGAAATAAATCCAGGTGGCTGCAGGCTCCCAGCCCAGCATCCCTGGGCTGTGCCAGGAGAGGCCGAGGTGGTCCTGGACGCCTCTGTCACCAAGAGCCCGGCCAGCTGGGGCCACAGCCGGGCCACCCTCTGGCCCCCACGGGCAGGGAGCAGCAGCAGCCCCCGGCCCCTCACCTTGGTGAGGTGCAGCTTGCCCCCGGAGCCGCGGGTGCAGATGATGAGGTGCTTGGAGAAGAGGAAGCACTGGCGCTCGCCCTCCTTCCTGAGCGACAGCGAGCCCAGCCGGCCGCGCGTGATCTTGCCCTTCTCCGACATGGGCACCTGGATCAGGGAGCCTGCGGGGCACACGCCGTCAGCCCCGCACGGGGCAGCCCCCGCCGTGCCCCGGGGCTGCCACCAGCCCGGGTCGTGCCAGCGGCGGGGGCACCACGGCCAGCCCACCCTGCGCCCCAGCCCAGGGCGCTGCTCCAGGGGCAGAGCTCGGCGTGGTGCTGCTGCCTCCCAGTACCAGCCAAGGTGCACCTCCCGTGCCCTGAGGTGGGAAAGGGCAGGGGCAAACCTGCCCAAAGTGCCAGAGCTGCCCGAAGCTGATGTGCCTCTGATCGGTGAAAACTCAGAACTGAGTAATATTTTTAAATCTCACAGGCCACCAGAGCACACAGGACAGGGACAGGGCCATGGGGCTCACGCTCGCCACAGAGGGGAGGGACCCTGACACTGACCTTGCCTGACGAAGGTCTGGCTGGTGTCCAGCAGGATCTCACAGCCCTCGATGATCATCCTCTCTATTGCCAGGTTTTTCCGAATGTTTTCAGTCTCACTCACTTCATCGTGCATTATCCTGAGGGATGGAGAGCAGAAAATCAGAGCTGGGGTGGGATCTGCACACGTTTTCCCAACCCCTTTGGACATTAGGTGGAGCTGCACCAGGTAAAACCAAAACTGAAGAAATGTCAAGGGATCCACCCAGACAGAGCCAGGAGCTCCAGAGGTGACCTGTACATCTGCCCAGGCTGTGCCTCCAGGCTGATAAATACTGAAATGGGAGTGCTTGGAAATCACAAAATTCACATCCCCTCCTGATATCCCTGCTCCTTGAGGAGTGGGAAGAGGGATGGAAACTCTTTACAGAACTTAAAGTGTGCGGGTGGGTTTGGCACCGACATCCAGAACACTCCAGAACAGTCCATGGGCTGGGGAGGAAGAGGATAAAAAGCAGGGAATTATGGCCAATTCCCAAGTGCTCGTGTGGAGATCTCGGAGGCACTCAGTGCCTTCCCGCCAGCCCTGAACAGAGGACAGAACCAGACCCTCGGAGCCATCCCACTCCTCCAAAGCCCTCATTTCACCATCCAGGAGCCCTGGCAAACACTGCCCCTGGCCAGAGCAGCCAGGACCCGTCCCACAGCGCAATTCCCAAGTGCTCATGTGGAGATCTCAGAGGCACTCAGTGCCTTCCCGCAGGGCAGCCCCACCAGCCATGAACAGAGGACAGAACCAGACCCTCGGAGCCATCCCACTCCTCCAAAGCCCTCATTTCACCACCCAGGAGCCCTGGCAAACACTGCCCCTGGCCAGAGCAGCCAGGACCCGTCCCACAGTGCAGGGGTGGATCACCAGCTCTCACCTGGACAGCTCTTCCAGCTTGGACTTGGCGTAATCCAGGCTGTTCCTCTCCACGTGCTCGTGGGGCGTGTGGGCCAGCAGCTCGTGCAGGGTCAGGATGTACCTGGGGATCTGCAGCACAAGGGAGAGAGCAGAGGTCAGTGGGGGCACAGGGGACAGCAGGGGCCCACCCTGGGCTGCTCCTGCCGTGGCTGGGGACACCCTGTCCTGAGCGGTTAAAGCTTCGAAGCTCCTTGTGCCAAAGCTGAATGAAGAGGAGGCACAACGTGGGGCTGTGCCCAGGACCCTGCTGGTCCCTGTGCCAGTCCCAGAGGTGTGGGATAACCCGGGAGCCAGCAGCACGTGGAGTGCCCCCACAGAGATGGCCCAGGAGCCGTGTGGGACCACCAGGGTCCAGCCCCAGCCCACCCTCGCCCAAGCTCTGCCTCCCAGCACGCAGTGCCAGCTGTGGGGATGGGCTGTGCGCTGCCCGGGGCCGGCCCTGGCTGCAGCGGTCACCTGGAACATGGGGTAGGTGAGGAAGGTCTCCAGGGTCCTCTCCTCGCAGTCAGGCTTGGCCTCGTAGTGCTTGAGCAGCTTGTCGAAGTCGCGGTTCTGCTTGCAGTGCGCCAGGATCTGCAGGCTGTACTGGTGGTTCCGCACAAACTCCTGGTAGATGTTCAGCATGGGCAGCAGGATGTCGAACAGGTCGGCTGCCGGCAGAGCAGGGCATGGGTGGGCTGCTCCAGCCCCGCCTGGCCACAGCCCCTGACCCCCCAGGGCAGCCCCGGGGTCTCCTGCTCCTCGTGCCCCCCGGCTCTGCTCAGTCTGAGCTCTGAGGGTCTGATGGAACATGGTGATGCTCTCCAGCCCCACCTCCCAGCAGAGCCAGCAACGCCGGAATTTGGTCACTCTGGGGTTTGCTCTGTGTGGCTGACGTGACCAAGCCAGGACACTGTGCAGCGTGTTTTGCTGCAGGTTGGCAAATGCCTGCGGAGCTGCAGAAGGAGAAGGAGCAGCAGCAGCAGGAGGATGAGGAGGAGGAGGCAGCAGCACTCACCCAGCACCAGCGTGGGCCAGCTGGAGATCCGTGCCTTCAGGCCTTGGTAGAAAATTTGGTGCAAAAACATGATTGTTTCGCTGGAAGAGGAACCAAGAGAGGACTAAGCCAAACCAAGAACAGACGGATGAACGAGAGGTAAATAAAGAGGAATTAGACAAATTCCCCATGGCAGGGGGTGAACAGGGCAGCCCTTGTGCTGGCTGGGGGCAGCTGCCCGAGGCAGTGCACAGCAGACTCCCAGCACCAGGGAGGTGCAGAGCTGCTGGGATGCCACAGGGCTCCCGGAGCCCAGGACGGAGCTCACCTGTTGAGGAAAATGCTGCTGACAGAGCTCACCTGTTGAGGAAAATGCTGCTGACGTCGTCGTGGGTGATGGGCGGTTTCTTGGAGCTGGCGGCCATGCGCAGCGGCCGCAGGAAGTTGTTGACGAGGATGTGGAGCTGCTGGACGTACTCGGCCTCGGCCTCCAGCATGCTGAACACCACCTGGTTCCTCTTGCGCATGCTGTCAGCGTGGGGGGACCTGATGTAGTCCTGAATGATGGTCTTCCACTTCCTCCGGCACAGCCAGCCCCGCAGGAAGCTCTGCACCTGAGGGAGCAGGGGCTGGGGGTTAAGGACGGGGCTGGGGGACAGGCAGGGACCCTCGCTCAGCACGGGGGGTCCCTGGCTCTGTACCCAGGTGTGTGTGCTGCTGCCTCTTCCTGGTGCTGCCCTGAGCCCTCCAGGCTGGGGATCCAACAACTCATCCAAACACCTGGCACAGCTGTGGCTGCCCCATCCCTGAAGCGGTCAAGGGAAGGTTGGATGGGGCTTGGAGCAGCCTGGGACAGTGGAAGGTCCCAGCCCATGACAGGGGGTGGAAGGAGATGAGGTTTCAGATCCCTTCCTTGTGTAGCTGGGCACCTGCAGCACGTCCTGCTCTGTGCCCAGGGCTCTGGCCCCCAGGACAGCTGCTGCTCCCTGTGGGAATGCTGCCGGGGTGGTGGCTTTTCCTTGGCCACAACAAAAGCTGTGGCAGCCATGGGAACAGAAGCCAGAGGGGCTGGAGGTGCAGGAGCCAGCACTGGCCAGGATGCCTCGTGCTCCCGGCAATGCCTCCCGCCTGGGCAGAGCACATTTTCCTCCTAAAAACCCTGCTGACAGAAGCACCGGCTCAGACACCTCCTCCAGCCCCCAGGGAGCACGTCTGCCGTGCCTGCTGGGCCCCCCGGGTGCCGACCCTCACCACCACCCACCTTCTTGATCTTCTTGATGTCGCTGTCATCGTCGCTGGGCGCGCTGCTCTGGCTGGCCTGGATGCGCTCGTGGTCCTTGAGCAGGGACGCGATCTGTGGGCACAGGGGTGAGCAGGGGCTGGGGGCAGGGGCATCCTGGGGGTATCCCGGGGACAGGGGCATCCTGGGGGTATCCTGGGGGCAGGAGCATCCTGGGGGTATCCTGGGGGCAGGGGCATCCTGGGGGTATCCCGGGGGCTGAGGGCATTCAGGGAGCCAAGGGCATCCCATGGGCTGAGCACATCCCAGGAGCTGAGGGCATCCAGAGAGCCAAGGGCATCCAGAAGGGGCTGAGGGCATTCAGAGAACCAAGAGCATCCCGTGGGCTGAGCACATCCCAGGGGCTGAGGGCATCCAGAGAGCCAAGGGCATCCCAGGGGCTGAGGGCATCCTGGGGGTATCCCAGAGGCTGAGGGCATCCTGGGGGTATCCCAGAGGCTGAGGGCATCCTGGGGGTGTCCCAGGGGCCGAGGGCATGCTGGGGGTATGCCAGAGGCTAAAGGCATGCTGGGGGTATGCCAGAGGCTGAGGGCATGCTGGGGGTATGCCAGAGGCCGAGGGTATCCCTAGAGCCAAAGGCATCCCAGGAGCTGAGCACCTCCTGGGAGCTGAGCACATCCCAGGAGCTGAGGGCATCCAGAGAGCCAAGGGCATCTCATGGGCTGAGCACCTCCTGGGAGCCGAGCACCTCCCAGGGGTATCCCAGGAGCTGAGGGCACCCCGAGGACTGAGGGCATCCCAGCAGCTGAAGGTATCCTGGGAGTTGAGGGCATCCCTGGTGCCAGGGAACAGCGTGACCCTCTGGGTTAATGACAGACACAGGCACACCTTGTGTGGGTCTGTCCTAATGGGCACCACAGACTCACAGAGTGCTGCAGGCTGGACAAGCCCTCTGAGACCATCAAGTCCACCCGATCACAACACTGCCACTAACCCACCATTGTCCCCAAGTGCCACATCCACATGGCTTTTAAACCCCGCCAGGGTGGGGTGGATGAAGCAGGTGAAGAAAGGTGGCAGAGCTGTCAGGGCTCCTCGAGCTGTCACTGACTCCTCAGTACCTCTGAACCCTGCCAGGACCGGCACCTGGAAATCCTGATGGGTGCCCAATCCAAACCCCATCCCTGCTTCCCAAAAATGCCTTCACAGCAACTCAGTCAACACAGCTTGGAGAGAAAATGGCAGTAAAATCTTGAGCATTTGGCCCCCAAAGTGTGCAGGCGGGGAGCAGCCCCCCAGGCGCTTCCCTCACATGTGGGATCAGAGCCATCAGCTCCAGGCTTTGGTTTCACTGTTTCTCCCTGTACTTTCTCTCCCTCCTCTGCTCATCGCGTGTCCCGGCCCCCACGGCCAAAACCACTTGCAAAGTGACAGGAAAAGGCAAGAAACAGCACATGTGCCATCCAGAACGTGGGAAATTGGGAAAATGTGATCTGGATTTTGATTTTGATTTTGAAGGAAACAACTTGGAAAGAGGACTTTGTTGGGGGGGGAGGGGGGAAGATGTCCCCCTTTGGACAGAAAGGAGGAAAAATGGTGGAGTTTGGACTGTTTGGAAAAAGCAGGAACACGCCAGAGCTGGTGGCCACAGGCTCATGGTCACTGATCCAGCTTCTACACATCTGTTTCCCCCCATTTCATTGTATGGATCAGATGTTAGAGGAGATTTTAGAGCCTGTTGTTCATCCCAACACACGGTCAGGGATTGTTATGAACCTGCGCATTTTAACTGAAAAATTCAAAATTTAAGGAAAAGCCCACCATTAGGACAGGCGAAACCACCCCCACTGCCCCCTCAGATGCCCCTTGTGGGGCGATGCTGGGGTTCTGACTGGTTGGGCACAAGGCCCCAGCCCTGCCAGCCCAGTCCTGGCTGCCCCCACGCCGAGGCTGTGCCAGGCACGAGGATGGCCAGGAAAAGGGGGTACCACTGCCAGCACCCCCTCTGCCAGGAGCATCACCCCCCTGACAGGCCTCTCCTGAGCTTCCTCCTCCTCCTCCTCCTCCTCCAGGTGCCCCAGGGACACGCGTGTCCCCCGGCACTGCCTGCTGAGTCATCTGTGCACCTCGCTGCTGCCTGCCGTACCCGGCCCCGTGTCACCCTTCCCGCAGCCGGCGCCAGGGAGGGAATTGCTGCCGGGGCTCCGGGGCAGGCTGCGGGCAGGGGCTCCCCGGGCTGAGCCCGCAGCAGCAGCTCGGGGTCTCAGCACGGAGCAACCCCCGCGATCCGGGGAGCACGAGGTGCCCTCTGCCCCGCTCGGGTGAGCCCCAGCTCTGGGAGCCCAGCCCCAGAGGGAGCTGCAGCTGCCGGGGGGGTGCTGCAGAGGGGACGCGGAGAGGGCAGGGTGGGACAGGACGGGCTGTGAGACCCCTTCCAACCCCAGCCGTCCTGGCGTTCTGGGATACAGAGGCTGCTTTCCTCTGCCACAAGAGGCAAGCAGCAGCTCCCCAGCCTGCTCCTCAGTGCTCCTGGCTGCAGTGAACCCTTGCATGCTGCAGTGAACCCTTCCATGCTGCAGCAGCTTCCAGGAACCCTCCCGAGCCCCCACAGGCTCAGCGCTGGGATGGCACAGCCACAGCCCCTTGCTGGAAAATCCCTAGGGAGGTGATGCCCTCGCCCTCCCGCGGGAGAAGGGCCAGCCCTGTGTCACTAAGAGAAGCAGACCCGCAGCAGCAGTGACACCCTGCCCACGCGGGGGTGGCACCGTCCCCCACGGGCCAGCCCAGGAGCGCCAGTGCATGCACGGGGCAGCGCCGGGCTCTTCACCTCGGCCTTGAGGCGCTCGATCTCGATCTCCCCGTCCTCGATCTGCTGCCGGAGTTGCTTGGCAACAGTCTTCTCCGTCTCCACGATCTGCAGGAGATGGAGGTACTTCTGCATCAGCGCCTCGTGCTCCGTCGCCAGGTTCCTGTAGCTGCAGCAGACACGGCCGTGAGCGTCCCTCCCCCAGAGCCTGCCCGAGCCCCCGCACGACCCCAGCCCCGGGCATGGGGCTTGGGCTCCTCCTGCCCGGCAGGGCAGCGATCCTGGGGCAGCTCCGGCAGCTGGGAATGCTGCTGCTCCCAAAGGAACCCTCTGGGCGGGCATGGGCTCCCCGAAGGGGCAAACAGAAAGGACAGAGCAAACTTTGATGGAATCACAGGAGTCAAAAAGACCCCCAAACACCCGTGGCCAAACCTGTTTCACCTGCCACGTTCCAAGAGTTTAAGAAGGACACGTGTGGCAAAAGCTCCTACAAAGCCCTGCTCCTGGCAGGGGCTGCAGGGGATGCTGTTTGTCCCATTCCCTGCTCCTGGCAGGGGCTGCAGGGGATGCTGTTTGTCCCATTCCCAGCTCCTGGCAGGGGCTGCAGGGGATGCTGTTTGTTTCTCCCATTCCCAGCCCCTGGCAGGGGCTGCAGGGGATGCTGTTTGTCCCATTCCCTGCTCCTGGATGCCGTTTCTCCCATTCCCAGCCCCTGGCAGGGGCTGCAGGGGATGCTGTTTCTCCCATTCCCTGCACACAGCTCTACCTCTCGTCCTTCCCCAGAGGCACCTGCACTCTGCTGGCTCCTGGCTGCTCTCCGTGGCAGCTGGGCTGTGCCAGCACTGCCAGGGCACACACAGCAGCCTGGACAATCCCTGTGCTCACCAGGTTTGCCGTCCCAGGAGAATCCCTTCCCTTTCAGCCTGAGGGTGAATCCCTCTGGCTGCAGGCTGGCACAGGCAGTGCCAGGGTGGCCGGTGGCACGGGACTGGGATGGCAACGGGGACAGGGGGAGAACTGAGCACAGCCCCCACTCAGCTTCAGGGTCCCCAGCATGGGCCTGGGGCAGAAGTGTCCTGCTCACCCTGCCCCCCAACCCCCCTCAGCACGGCTTCACCTGGACCCCCCCACCCCGCGGGGCACGGGGCACACCTGGCGTGAGCTATGGCTGCCACCCACTCGTCACAGTCCTTGGCGTCCTCGGTCCTCAGCTCCAGGGTCTTCTGGTTCTCATGGTTGAAGTTAACGGTGAAGTAGTGCTGTGGGGGGAGCACAGGGGGCACGGTCACGGTGACACCCCACACAGGGGGCACGGTCACGGTGACACCCCACACAGGGGGCACGGTCACGGTGACATCCCACACAGGGGGCACGGTCACACCCCGCACAGGGGGCAGAGTGACACCCCACACAGGGGGCACGGTCACAGTCACACCCCGCACAGGGGACACAGTGACACCCTGCACAGGGGACACAGTGACACCCTGCACAGGGGACACGGTGACACCCCTCACAGGGGACAGAGTGACACCCCGCACAGGGGACACGGTCACACCCCGCACAGGGGACACGGTCACACCCCGCACAGGGCTGGCAGAAAGCACTTCCCGACCCACATGAATACCTGACCCACCCCAGGCTGCCTCATTGCAATAAACACCTTTGGGCACACCAGGAGCCCTCAGCACAGCCGTGCCACTGGCGAGGAAAATCCGAGGGGAAATCCTGCTGGGCAAAGACCCAGCTCCAGGAAAACCTAAATGCACCAAACCCTGCAAGGCCAGGGCGCTGCAGTGCTGAACGTGGGGCCACCCTCGCGTGGGGAACGGGCAGAGGAGCAGGGATGCTGATCCCACCCGCACCCACGGTTAATGCTGGGACCTGGTGGCCCCAGAGGTGTTTTCCAGCCTCGAGGCTTCCTTGGCGCTGTGCTCCCTGCCCCATCCCGGCCCTCGGGGCAGGGCTGGAGCCCCGCAGCACAGCCCGGGTCCCTGTGTCCCCCTCCCGGGGCTCGGGGGGGGTGGCCGAGGCCCGGGGCTATTTTTAGCCTCCCTTGACATTTCCAGTGTTTGTGCTAATTGTGCGCGGTGCCGCCGCCGCCGGGTTTGTGCCGCTCCTCTGCTTCCCTGCAGTCTCCAAGGAAACAGGTACCACGCTGCAGTGCTGGATACTGCCCGGAATAACCGGGCTAAAGCAAACCCGCTGGAACGAGCTCATCCTGACATCATCTGCTCCTCCGCTGGGTTTCATCAGGGACCTGAATTCACAGGTGAAAACTGCCTCGAAGCCAAGGAGCACAGCCTGGCAGCCCCCGCCGTGCCACGGAAACACCGATGGCACCACAAGGCTCTTCCCCCCCTGTCCCGAGCAGGCCCGGGGGTGCTGGGGACAAGGACCCCCAGACTGCACACAGGGTGAGCCCGGCATGACGGGGAGACAGGGCACAGCTGGCACAGCAGCACAGACAGAGGCAGCAGCCCCAGCCCGTGCCCAGGCAGGGCTCAGGGCTCGGGGTGGCACCCTCGGAGCTCAGCCAGCCCCTCCGGGTCCGGCAGGGGAGGAGAGGGGGCCGGGAGCTGCCCAGGGGCACGGCAGGGCCCTCCTTCAGGAACTGCTTCCACCTTTGGGCAGCAGCTGCAGGGCCCTGCTGGGGATGCAGCTCCTTCACTCTGCCACCGATCCTCTAAGTGCAGGATCCTTCACTGCTGGTCCTGTGGACAAGCTTTCTCCTTATGGACCATCCCCAATGTCAGACACCACCGTCCATCGCACAGCCCTGTCAGACACCATCATCCATCCATCACCCCTTCCACTGCCACGCTCAGGCTGCCCAGAGCCCCGGGGCTGCCTGCAGGACACCTCTGGGGCTGCAGCAGCTCCCCAGCTTTGCATCCCACCCCCTTTCCCTCCCTCCCGCTCCCAAAGGCTTTTACTGCCAGAGGCAGCTCCGAGGGAAAACTCACCAAACACCTGTGATCCCTGTGAGGGGTGTTCTGTACCCCAGCTTTGCACCCACCTGACATCCCTTCCCTTGTAACTGCATCAAGAGGAGCTCATCAGGCTGGCAAGGCTGGAAATGCCCCCTAAACACCAGCGAGGAGCGGGGGAGCCCCTTTGAGGGCCAGGGTAGCTCCTGGCAGCTCCCAGTGCCGCAGGAGCGAGAGCACAGTGTGCCCATTCCCTCTCCAGGATCCAACACCAACAGCCCGAGCTCGGCTGAGCCCCCTGGGACTGGAAACACGGGGAGACACTCCAGGAGCCCCCCAGAGCAGTCCCTGCCTGGCAGGAGATAGCGAGCCCTGGGCTGTCCTTGGCAGACATCCCAGGGTGCCCGGGGCATGGCACAGTGCCCTTTGTGCTGCTGTGGGTGAGGGCACCACTGGGAGCCCTGTGCCCACAGCACGGCCTGGGTTGGAGCGTCCTGACCTCCCCAGCGCCCTGGGAAAGCCTCGGGGCTTGTCCAGGGTGAAACAAGGGGTGCAGAGCCCAGGAACTGGAGCAGGAGGCCTGGAGAGGTGCCCGCCTGCCCCACTGCCTCTGCCCCCTGCACCCACTCGAGGCACCCCCAGCACATCAGGGGGGATCCAGCTCACACCTGGCACTCGCAGGGCTCTGTCGGAGGCAGCAGAGCCCACGGGGAGGGAGTGAGCCCCCAGGGCTGGGCTGCTCTGTGCCAGGGCTGCTCTGTGAGCCCAGCCCGGCTCCTGCCAGCATCCCCCTCCCTGTGCTGCTCCAGTTTATCCCCACACAATTCCCAGGAAGTGCAGCGTGCTGGCAAGGAGGAAGTTATTTTATATTTGAATAATAAAACTCCCACCACCTTTTATCTCCGCCTAAAGATGATCCCTCTCTGCCATGGCAGTGACACGTCGCACCAACAGCCCGGGAGCGCTCCCAGCGCCCGCTGTGCCCCGAGCATGGGAAACACGCGCAGAGCCAGACCCACGGGCAGAGCCAGACCCACGGATGGGACCAGACCCAGGGATGGGAGCAGACCCAGGGATGGGAGCAGACCCACGGATGGGACCAAACCCACAGGCAGAGCCAGACCCATGGATGGGAACAGACCCACGGGCAGAGCCAGACCCACGGATAGAGCCAGACCCACGGACAGAGCCAGACCCACGGATGGGAGCAGACCCACGGATGAGACCAAACCCACAGACAGAGCCAGACCCAGGGATGGGACCAGACCCACGGATGGGACCAGACCCAGGGATGAGACCAAACCCACAGACAGCGCCAGACCCACGGGCAGAGCCAGACACACAGATGGGACCAGACCCAGGGCTGGGAGCAGACCCACGGATGGGAGCAGACCCACGGATGAGACCAAACCCACAGACAGAGCCAGACCCAGGGATGGGACCAGACCCACGGATGGGACCAGACCCAGGGATGAGACCAAACCCACAGACAGCGCCAGACCCACGGGCAGAGCCAGACACACAGATGGGACCAGACCCAGGGATGGGAGCAGACCCACGGATGGGAGCAGACCCATGGGCAGAGCCAGACTCAGACCCAGGGATGGGACCAGACCCACGGACAGAGCCAGACCCACGGACAGAGCCAGACCGAGTGATGGGACCAGACCCCCGGGCAGAACCAGACCCATGGACAGAGCCAGACCCACGGGTGGGACCAGGCCCACGGATGGGAGCAGACCCATGGATGGGAGCAGACCCATGGGCAGAGCCAGACTCAGACCCAGGGATGGGACCAGACCCACGGACAGGGCCAGACCCACAGACAGAGCCAGACCCACAGACAGAGCCAGACCCACGGGCAGAGCCAGCACAGGCCAGCTACCGGCACTGGGAGCACCAGTGTGAGACCCCAGCCCCAGCACGGCCCCAGCTCGGGTCCCTGGGCAGTTTGTGCTGCCCGGGGCAGGGCAGAGCTGCCCACAGCGCCGCTTTGCTTCTCCTCACACCCGTTTTTTGTTCATTTTTCACCTCAACAACTCCCAGCCCGGGGACCCGACCCTGCTCATCCCAATCCCCTCGCTCTGCGCTGGCCAGAACAGCAGATGCGGCTCCTGGAGGATCCCTGCTCCCGGGGTTTTCCATCCTCCCCGTTCCCATGGTGCCCGCACATCCCCCGGACCCCCGGCCGTGAGTCCGTCCGGCACCGCAGGACACACAGCCCCTGCAGCCCCCCAGCCACCCGCACCTCGGGGATTTCACAGCAATTCACAGCAATTCTGCCCGAAACAATGGCGCGGGAGCGCTCCAGGTCACCAAGGGGAACGTGAAAGCGCCTCCAGAGCACCCCCAGCCCCGTGACCCCGCCGGGTGACAGTCCCCCGCTGCCCCGGGCCACCCCGGCTGCGGGGGGCGGCGTTCCCGAGGTCCCCGATGCGCACAAAGGCTCCGAAACAAATTCAAATGAGCTTTAAAGCGACGCGTTATTTCCGAAGTATAAAACCAGCCTCTCACGGAATTTTTTAGAATTTTGCAGAAGGGCATTTTTTCAGCCTGAACAACCCACCAGAGCCCCTGGGTGGCTGTGGCTGGGGGTGGGCGCTCTCCCAGCACCCCCGCACTGGTCACTGCACGTGTGAGCCTGGGGGGACCACGAGAGAGGCACCCCAGCATCACCAAAGCAGTGAGTGTCACCCTTCCCTGGCTGTGCTGTGCCTCACGGGGGGTTTTCCCCCACAGGGATGCCCCATCACCCTCGGAACTGTCCCCCCTGCAGATCCACACCCGCCTGTTTGTGAAGCTGATGGTTATTCCAGCTGACACAAAGGGCAAGAGGAGGAGAATTTTCCTGCTCTGGATGGATGAGTCTAAAAATCCACAGCCAGCCATGGCAGCTTTTAACATCCCTGACCTACATACTATGTGCTCTGGGAAAACAGGACCTCAGAGTTGGATGCTCCAGCAGCTCATTTCCGTGCTGACAATAAGAAAAAATATCCCAGAGGCTGCAATTTCCCCTCTCTGTTTCACTATGGGCTGTCAGGATATTTGGAAATGGATACTAGAGGTGAGCATCACCCTTGTGGAGCAGGCTCTGGAGTCATGCACAGAAATATTCATAAAATAATTAAAATAAATCAATTTTCCCCCTGATTTTATCCAGTGATGCAGGCATGGCTGGGACCAACACTATGAGCATCCCCCTCACTCAGAAATCCCCACATGGCATCACTCAATACACTAATTAATTAAAAACCCAGTGTCACCCCAATGCTGAGGAACAGTTCAGGTTTAAGTCCACAAATTGTGGTTTATAGTCTCCAAAAACCAGATTGCCTGGAATGACATTGAGGGAGGAGAATTGTCACTGCCCCAGACGGCTGTTGGGATCCGGGATCCAGCTCCCAGGACATCAGTCCTGGAGCTTGGAACAGCCTGGGAGCTCCCTGCTCAGGATGCCCACGGGTGACCTGCTCAGCCCTGCTGCACTGAAGGGGTCTGGCCCCCTGAGCCCCCTCCACAGCCCCCCTGGGGGTACCAAGGGGGACCCTCATACAGGGACGGGCACGGCTGGGTCCTGTGGCCCCCCTGCTGCCCCTCGGAGCGCTCTCCCAGCTCTGGCACTGCCAGGAACGGCTCCACCAGGCCTGGGGCTGGGCTCTGGGGCAGCGCAGGGACAGGCACAGTTGGGTCCATAGCCCCCCGCTGCCCCTCGGAGCGCTGCCCCAGCTCTGGCACTGCCAGGAACGGCTCCACCAGGCCTGGGGCTGGGCTCTGGGGCAGCTGGAGCTGCTGGGCTGGCAGGGGCTGCTGCCAGGCCTCAGGGCACCCAGATATTGCAGACTGCCAGTGTCTCCGGGATGGGGCCCACGGGGCAGGCTGAACTCGGTGCTCCATCCCAGGAAAACGCTCTGGAGAGGGGAGGGAAATGCCATCCACGTGCCCAGGAGCAGCCCCAGCTCAGGAACACAGCTCAGCTCCCGAGCCTGGGCCCGAGGGCTCCGCTGCCTGACTCAGCACCACGCTGGCCCTGTCTGAGGGCTCCTGCCCAGGAGCAGCCCGTGGCACTGGGATGTGGCTCTGGAGCCAGCCCTGGCTGCCCGGGGCACTGTGGAGTCCCCATCCCTGGAAATGCTCAAAAGCTGTGTGGATGCAGCACCTGGGGCACGCAGCTGCAGGGGCAGCCTCGGAGCTGCTGGGGCAAGGTTGGGCTCAGAGGGCTTTTCCAGCCCTGGTGATGCTGGGACTCTAAATCCAGCTCCAGGCTGGATCCGTGGAGCAAACCCAAAGCAATTCCTGGCGTGCAAAGGAGAGCCCTCACCCACACTGGGGTGTCTTTGGGCTTGGATCAGCTCTGGACCTCGCACCTGCTCAGCTCCTCCACCAGGATCTCACCTCGGCCGTGCCCCTCCTGCCTGGGGCACCCCACATCCTGCCCAGGAGCGGAAGGGAGACCCCATGAGAGCACATCCCATCTCTGACACCCCACGGGCTGGGAGCAGCAGGCTGTGCCACGGCCCAGGCACCACAGCAGGGGAAAGGGGGCTGGCTGCCAGCCCTGCTGCTCCCAGCACTGCTGCCCTGAGCAGCCAGGGCACAGCCCCCAGCCCCAGCCCGACCCCACAGACCCTGCCCCAGGCCACAGCCTGACCTCACCCAGCAGGAAATTGTCTTCCCCATCCAACTGGTTGGAGGGAAAATTCATTTCAGGAAAAACAAAACAAAAGTTTCCAGAGGCAGCAAATCCCGCTTTGGTGTTCCAGTTTTCCACATGTCTTTGCTCCCTTATTCTCGCATATACCAGTGCTAAAATTCACTGTGTTCCAGGGAAAAAATCCCCCCACAGCAAAATACGTGTGCATTAAAAGGGGGGGAGGTTTGAAAGCCCCACCTCTTAAAGTTTGTCCTTTGCAGAGAGCTGGGAACCTGTCAGGCTGCACTCCAGCAAGGAAGGAATCCACACTGGAGCTCCTCTGCTGCAAGGAGCACTGTCCTCAGAGCTGGAACCGCACGGACAGACAAACACCCTCAGCACACCGCTAACTGGGATCACGGGCAGTGCTGGAAATTTCCTCAGCACCTTCCCTCTGGAGGCTGCTGGCACGGCTGGCTCCCAGGAGAGGCTTTCCCTGGCGTGGGGGCACGGACCCTGCCCAGAGCGCGGTGTGCCACCTGCTCGTCCCGCCCGCCGGGCTGCGGATCCGCACCATCAACATTCGCCGCTTATCTCATCCCTGGGCCATTAATTAGCTTGCAGAGCAGCGGGCACCCAGCGCTCCGGCTTCCAGTCCCGCTCGGCCTCGGGAATTACACAGAATTCCAGGCCAGGCGCTGAACCGCGGCAAATCCACGCGCAGCCGCGGCAGGAGCTCCCTGTGCCAGCAGCCCCCGGCTCAGCGAGCATCAGCGCTCTGGGGGCATTTGGAGCTGCAGAGGGGCTGTGGCAGCCTCCCCACGGTGTTTGCAGGGTGGAAAAGCCAAACACAGGACCCAGAGCCTCGATTCCCAGCTTGATTCCAGCCTGGCCAGGAGGACAGATTGCAGCCAGGCTGGTAAACTTCATGGAAGCTGAACTAGGAGCACACAACGTCTGTTCTGAAGGGACAGCAGTGACAACCACAGCAGTGTGACCCCCTGCCACTACAGAACCCCCTCGCCACCACAGCCCCCGAGGTGCCTCTTGTCACAGCTGGGCTGGAAGGAGCCCCAGCTGGGCAAAAACCACAGCATTTTCCTCTTCACAAGGAAATATTCCTGTGCTCCAAGCCAGGAGGGAGGGGATGTGCCAGGGAGCAGTGGTGCTGCATGCCTGGTTCTCTTGGCAGGGTTTTCCAGGTGCCAGGAATAGCCAGAATCAGGGGCTGGTTTCCCCCCCGCGCTGCCCCATGCCCCGGGGTGCCAGGGGTGCCCCGGGGCCCCATCCTGCAGTCAGCACTCCCGGCGCCTCCCCGGAGCCTGCCAGGCAGTAATTATGCAAGCCCTGCAGAGCGGACCCAAAACGCACGGTGCCTCCCGCCCGTGCCCAGCCCGGGATGGCGGGGCCGGGACCCCCCCGCTGCTCCCACCGAGGGGCCCCGGGGCCGCTGTGCCACCCACGGGCACACGTCCACGCTCCACACACCTCCAGGGGGTCAGAGGGTGAATGCAGCTGGCTCCTGTCCCCAGGAGGAGACTGGGGGTGGCTCGGAAGCGATGGATCGGGGTTTGCCCCCGCAGCTGGGAGCCAGCCCTTCTCCCCCTCCTGGTACCATCCCCTCTCTCCTGGCTGCTGCGGCACACCCCAGCTCCAGCAAACCACCCCAGGCAAACACGCCAGGGGCTGCCATCCTCCATGCCGTGCTGCTCCAGGAATACCCTGGAATGCCCAGTTGGGAAAGGCACAGGCGGCGGGAGAAGCCCACCCCTGGGGCCCGTCAGGGGCTGCGGTCCTCACGGCTGGGACGCAGCAGCCCTGGGGCTGGGGGACACCCGGATTGTCCCCGGCTCTGGCAGGGCTTTGGTGTTTCCGCGCTGATCGCCCGCAGCCAGCGGTGGCAAAGGACACCGGAGCCCAGCGCCAGCACGGGGGGCTCGGGGGACCCGCGCTCTGCTTTTGCCCCGCCAGGATGGGGATGCAGGTGCAAAGCGCACAGGTGGCGAGCGGAACAGGGTGAAATCTGCCTGAAAACAAGGCCCTGAGCTGCCCCCGCCGAGCGCCACGCACCCAGCGCAGGCTGCTCGCACCGCCGGGCCGGGGCAAACCGCGGGGCACGGAGGGGCAGCGGGGTCTGGGAAACAGCGGGGCCGCCCCACGGGAGCCCCGCAGAGCCCCCGGCCCCCCGGGGCATCTGCCCCGAGCCCCGAGCCCGAAACCCGAGCCCCGAACCCGCCGGGCCGGGGGGGACGCGGGGGGCGCGGGGCTCTGCAGCGCCCAGCGCGGCCGCTGGGAGGCGCCCCGCAGCCCCGCGCTAATTACCGGCGGTTAATTAGACGGGAGGGGGAGCGGGGGTGCCCCGGGCAGAGCCCGACACCCCCACAATGAACCCGCCCGCTGCTCCGGCATCGCAGCCCCGGGAATCGTCCCCCTTCCCCCGCACAGAGCGGCCTCATCCTCACCTCCCCACCCCGGTCACGCGTGGGGCAGGTCACGGGCGCCGGAAGCTCCGGGGGTGGGGGGCCTGGACCCCCGCGGGGCATCCTCCCTCCCCCTCCGCGGGCCCCCCGTGTCGCCCACCTGCTTCTCCAGGGAGTCCTTAGCCGAGAGGGGGGGCTTGGGGGAGGGCGCGCGGTCGCAGACGCAGCCCTCGAGCAGGTAGAGCCCCGAGGGCCGGGAGCTGGAGTCGGTCTCGAAGTAGAAGAGCATGTTCTGGAGCAGCGCGAACCACTTGGTGTGCCATTTCGTGTTGTCGGCGCTCCTCTTGCTCAGGTATCCGCGCCGGGCCCCGTCCTTCTTCGCCAGCAGCCCCAGGTGGGCGACGTGCCCGTCATTGAGCCGCATCCCCTTCTGCATCCTGCCGGCTCCGCGCTCACATGGCCCCCGCCGCGGGCGGGGCCGCGCCGAGCCACCCCCGCCGCCCCCGCAGACCCCGCGGTCCCCGCAGCATCAGCGGCCCCCGCTGCCCCCGGGGAGCCGCCGGGCGCTCATCCCGCGGCCCGGCCCCGCTGAGCCCCGGCTGTGCCGGTGAGCGCCGCGTCCCGCACCCGCCGGCCGAGCGGAGCCGAGCGGAGCCGCGGCCCTCCTTGGCTGCCGCTCTCCCGTGCCTCCTTCCCTGCCGCCGGCTGCGGGGGTGGTCGCGCCGCGCTGCGCTCGCCGGGGCCGCCCCCGGGCCGCGGGATGCCGGGGCCGCCGCCAGCACCGGCACCGGCAGCTCCGCACCGCCAGGGATCCCCGAGCCGAGAGGGAACCCGCACAGAGAGAGAGCCCCGGGCCGAGAGGGACCCCCGGCCCGAAAGGGACCCCCGCCGTGCGCCGAGAGGGACCCCCGGGCCGAGAGGGAACCCGCCGTGTGGGACCCTCGGGCCCGCATGGAATTCTGCCCACGGATGGAGCCCCGGGCCGAGAGGGACCCCCGGCCCGAAAGGGACCCCCGCCGTGTGGGACCCTGGGGCCAGCATGGAATCCTGCCCACGGCTGGAGCCCCAGGCCGAGAGGGACCCCCAGCACAGCCAGAGCTGAGACAGCTCCAGACACAGAACCCCGAGAGCAAGGGGGACCCCTGGGCACGTGGGACCCCAGGAACAGCCAGAGCCTCGGGCCGGGAGGGACCCTAGAGCAGATGGGAGCCCTGGGAAGGGGATCCCAGGCCAAAAGGGACCCTGACTGGAGCCCCGGGCCGAGAGCGACCCCCAGCACAGCCAGAGCTGAGACAGCTCCAGACACAGAACCCCGAGAGCAAGGGGGACCCCTGGGCACGTGGGACCCCAGGAACAGCCAGAGCCTCGGGCCGGGAGGGACCCTAGAGCAGATGGGAGCCCTGGGAAGGGGATCCCAGGCCAAAAGGGACTCTGAGGCAGGGGAGGACCTCGAGAGAAGTGGCACCAGCAGGCAGAGCAGAGGGACCAGTTTCTCCATTTCTTTCAGTCTGTCTCACTCTCGGCCCCTCTTGTCCATCCTGGCCTTGTGTGCTCTGCTGAGCGGGGCCAAGCTGGGACCTGGGCACTGGAGAGCTGGGCACTGGCTGCAGCTGAAGCCTGTGCAGGGAAGGGAGTGCCCTGGTGCCCCTGTACCCCAGGCCCTCCTACAGCCAGCTGCCACAGTGAGTGTGGCACCTGCAGTGTGGCACGGCAGTCCTGCGGCAGAGCCAGCGCTGCCCTGAGCCCCGGCTGTGACAGACCCCTGCAGACAGGGAGGACAGCAGGACAGCCCTGGTCACTGCCTTTATTTCTGCTGAAAACGCTGGCAGGGCTCCAAGGCGCCCGCTGAGGTCACAGGTTGCCATGGGAACGGGAGGGAACAGGCTGGAATTGGGAAGGGTGCTGGCACTGCCAGGATGGAGCTACTTGGCCTGGCTGCTGCTGGAACACGGGCCCGTGGCCACCTCAGGGGACACGGCCCGCGGCCTGCTGTCACCGGGCCAGTGCCAGAGAGGGGCCGAGCGGGGCTGGGGCCGCCCCCCGCCCCTCATCCTCCCGCTTCTGTCCCCGGCTGAGGTGCCCCTGAGCCAGCTGCAGGCGCGATTGCAGCTCCAGCACGGCCAGCTCCCCTCCGCGGCCGGGGCTCTCTCCCTGCCCGTTTCTCCAGCCCCATCAGGGGGGTCCCGCACCCCCTTTCACTGCTGCGGCCCCCGCCTGGGCTGAGAGGTGCTCCCAGCACGAAGCAGAAGGTGCTTCCTGTGCCAAAGCTGCCACGTATGAACAGTGCAGTGGCACAGAAGGAGACCCTTTGTGGCAGCCTGAAAAGTCCTGGATGAAATAATAGCTGGGAAGCCGGCATTAATAATAATAATAATTGTATAATTACTGTATGGAAGGGAGCTGCCAAGCCCTCTGGCCATGGGGATGTGCCTGGAGGGGCTGGGGTGTACCTGGGCATGAAGAGTGCCCAGGGACTCTGTGTGTCAGTGTGCCCACTGCCCTAAGGACAGCAGCACCCTGGCACTGGGGACAGGCAGCGTTGCACTATGCTGGGGTTGGGGCCCAGCCTCTGCATTCCCAGTGCTGCTGGTTCAGTTCTCCCCCTCTGGAAGATACAGGGGGTGATGGAAACATCACTGAGAGCTTCCAGGGCTCCAGCCATGGAAAGTCTGATTCCTGGCACCAAGGGAGGTGTGTTTCCTGCAATGACATGGCATCCATCAGGGGAGGGGTTTGCAGTGTGCCCTCCTGCCCAGCAGCCGAGGGAAGGGCTCCTCACACCTCTGAGGGCCAGCAGGGCCAGCCTTGGTGTGCTGCCCATGGGACAGGGAGTTTGCCCACAAAGATTGCCGGGGTTTCCAGGTGCTTTAATTGCTCACTGAGGTGTTAAACAAGGATGGACGTGGCTCTTGTGGGCACAACCTGAGCAGGTCCCCAGGCAGAGGGAGCAGGACCTGCAGCAGCACCCGAGGGCACAGCTGGCACAGGGGAACAAGGGGCCTGGGACGCTGCTCTGGGCAGGGGAGGCTGCAAGGGAGCTCTGGGAGTGGCACAGTCACCATCAGAGACCTCTGAACCCCTGTGATGGGGGCACCAGGGCAGAGCAACCACCGAGCCTGGAGGGAGGAGGCGCAGGAGCAGGGAGCTGACCCACGGCGTGCCAGGCTCTCAGTCAGGATACACTGCCCTGATCCCCCAGGGTGGCACAGGACGAGCCTCTCGGTGCTCTCACCCAGAGCCTGCTCTCCTCTTGGGGCTGAAACAGACTCTGGTGCACCAGGGCAGGGTGGGGGACACCCGCCGAGGCTGGCAGCTGCATCCTCTCCATGCCAGCCCAGACACGTGCCACCAGTGCCACCGCCAGCACAGGTGTCACTCCCCATCCCTCGGGTCCTTCCGTGGCACTGAGGGCACCCTGCCTGCCTCAGGCAGCCTCTCACCCTGCCCTGGCCCTGACGGGGAGCCTCCCCTCCCTCGGGGGCAGCCTGTCCCCTGGGGTCACCACTGCTGGGGTCTCTGGTAGGTCTAGGCAGCCTCCCCTCCCTCAGGGACAGCCTGTCCCCTGGGGTCACCACTGCTGGGGTCTCTGGTAGGTCTGTGCATCCCAGCTGGCCCTGTGCCACCCTGCTGTCACAGCACTGGGAGCTCTGTCAGTGCCCAGGGCATCCCCGAGCAGCACAGACACCCTGCGAGCCCACCCGCAGCAGGGATGTGGCCACCAGGTGTTTTTAGGCACTGCTGTGTGTCACAGGCCCGCAGAAGGCGCTGTGGCCGAGAGGGGGGGTCTATAACCACGTTTGGCTGCACTCTGCAGGCCGAGGTCCCTGTGGTTACACCTGGGGTCTGCCACCTGCCAGGCAGAACAGCACTGAACCCCCTGCGTGCCAAGGCTTTGGGATTTTAGAGCTGTCTCCTGTCCCTGCAGGTACACGATGTCATCAGGTATATCCATCCCCATCCCCGTGCCTGGCTGTCTCACCTGGCCCCAAGCTGGGCACGCCTGCCCAAGTGGAAGGTGCAGGTGGCACGGCTGGGTCACCTGGGACCATCTGTCCTGGGGCTGGACACGCCGTGCCCAAGCAGGAGACCCCAGGGTCACCAGGATCAACCTGCAGCTGCAGCTGCTGCCAGCACCCCTGGGAAGGGCCCTGCTGGGCTCCTGCACACCAAAGGCTGTTGCTAATTAAGAATTTAACACCCAGATCCCTGGAACTGACTCATTCCTTACTGCCACCAAGAAATCCTTTCTCCCTGCCTCTCCAGCAGCCAGCTGGGAGCACAAGGCACTCGGGTGCCTGCTATGAGGTGACGGCTCAAGGAGCTGCAGAAGCCACAGGAAATATTATTCTGTTTCTGGGGGGTGAAGCAGGCCCTGGCTGCAGCTGACACACACACCCGGTGTCACAGCAGTGACAGTGACCCTGGGCAGCACACGGGGTCACTCACCAAACCAGCTCTTGCCCCACTTGCTGCAGGGCAGAGGCTCCCAGTCAGGAGCTGCTTTAGGGCACTGGGATTATCCTCCCCAAGGGCACGGTGGGGAGCCCACGGCCAGCCCACAGCCAGGGACACCAGGCCACACACAGGTCACCCGTGCCACTGCAAGGACAGGCCCAGGATCCCTGTCCCTGCCAGGGGCCACCTGTGCTGTCAGTAAATGGCAAAAACACGGGCAGGGAACGGCGAGTTCCAGAGCTACCACAGCAGAGGGACCCAAGCCTCTGGAGCCCTGCAGAGAAGGGAAGAAAGTGCTGAAGTCTGGCAGCCGTGGCCGGGCTCCTCGTTGCAGTGGGATTTGCTGTAACAGATTCCCGTCAGTCACAGGAGAGTTATGGATTTATTTTTAAACAGATTAAGCATCTGCTGCTGACAGAGCACATCTCAGCACTGGCCGGGCAGCAAGCAGTGCCCGTGGGGAAAAGGCAGTGGGAAAACCCTGGGAAGGCAGAGGCTGAGCTTGGCTGGCTGGGAAATAAGTTGTAAGACCATTTGAAGCCATGTGAGTGTCCCACCAGGGCTCAGTGACACCGGGACTCCCAGGGCTGGCACGGCCATGGGTGCAGCTGCTGGGCACAGAGGGATGCTTTCCTGTCCATGACAGAAACAAATAAAACATTTGCTAATTCAGGGAGATTCTCCTGGATAAGCAGATGAATCAGCTGTGGTTCATTCTCCTGGTCCCTGGGACAGAGGCAGGCTGGGGGTGAGGGAGCCCATGGAATCCCTGCAGGCTCAGCTGCCTGGGCCCACAGGAGCCAAGGCTGCAGCCCTTGGGGCAGCAGAGCACTCCAGAACTAGCCAGGAAGCTCTTAGGAGATTGTTTGGTTCCCATTCCCAGGCACGGGCCCTCTCCAGTGCCCCCCATGCAGCTCCAAGGGAGATGGAATATTTTTCCTGTGTTTCTGCTGGATCCATCGTTCACTAAAAATAAAGCTG